GGAGGTAACGATTCTCTCTCATCCTGCATGAATTTTGACCAGGCATATAGCAAAATAAGATTGTATCAGCATCTAAGCCATCAAACAAGTAAATGTCTAAATCCAAAGGTATAAGATAGTCTAAACCTCTATCTAGCCAGCACCTCTCATTTTTCTCACTTGGAAATCTCAAGAGCAAGGAATTTGTAGGGCAACATAACTTTAAAATAGAAAGAGAAGGATTTTGGATTCAATACAACACAAGAGGCTCAAACAAGCGCAGCAAACCGTTCCTTCTAAAGTTCACAAAACATAAATGAAACTAAATGGGGATTAACAGTCATAATTTTTCATAAGCCAGTTCAATTCCAAAGAAGGATGATCATGACACAAATTCAAACACAAACCAAGCCAAACAACAAAATTTCTTCAAAGGGAGAAGAGTCTTACAAGAGCGCTTTGCGTCCGTCGATGGGCATTCCTTCCAACAGTAAATCTTGAAAATATACCCACCATATTTTTCAGCTCAAAATCCAATACGCACAAGAAAGAAGCGCCCGGGGGGGTTTCTCGTTATTCTATGATCTGGCTACCTCCCAGCACTCGAAGACTTGTTTACCATGGATAAACCGAAATCGCCCCCGATTCTGAGTCCTGATCTACCCAGCTTTTGTATCCCGAGGGACAAAGTATTGAGAAAGACGAACAAAGAGTACTGTAGCTATAAGTCGTTTGCTTGGCGTCGTGGGTTTGGTGAGCGGGATTCCCCGTGTTTCTTTGAAGTCATAATGCTTGGGAATCAGTACCAAAAAGCTGTGAATTACAAGGAAAAGGACTCGGGGAAGGATGAAGAGAATCCATGCGAGATTTTAATTTGGATGGGTAAGTCTAAGCCTTAAGCAAGAATAGAAAATTCAAAGCATCGGAGAGAATATCAGCCCTTTCCCCTGTCCAGCTGCTGCAGCACATTTCATACAAGAATTTACGCGCCTTCGCCCAATCGTGGTGACCAATTCTGAGGTGAAAGCAAATGAAATTTGTACATGTCGATATTCCCCAAAAAAATTACATTTGTCAGATGATTTTTCTGATAAATTAATGTTCGATCTGTGCATTGGCGTGATAATTAGGAAAAAAAAAAACCAAAACATCCTCAAAAATACTATTCCTCCGGTTATTAATATAAGACTTATTTAACTAATTTGATTAAATTAAAGAAGTTAGGTACGTTAATTAATTATAAGAAATATAACACGTTTTTCTTAAAATACCATAATTATATTTTTTAACACCCTTTCTTCCTCTCTTACTTGATTATGGTTGAGGGAATATCTATTAGGGTAATTTAAAGAAAATTGATAAATATAAGAAATGGGTCTTATATTTAGAACAAAACTAACTCAACAATTGGGTCCTATATTAAGGGTCAGAGGAGTAAAGACAAATGAGTGTAGGTGAATTTTAAAATTTCAATTTAAACCTCACATTCTGGCCAAAAAAAAAAATTTAAACCTCACATATTATTTTAGAATTTTTAAATCTTATAAATTACAAAAATGTATTTTACTATTTTTTTAAATTTTTTTTAAAATACTGTCACCTCAGTAATTCCAGCTCTCGGAGTTCTGATGACCACTCTTTCTTATGTATTGATTTTTTTTTTAGTTATTGATTACATTTGTTTTTTAAAACTATGATGACTATTCTTATTTAGCTACTGACTATTCTAATATTGCGATTCACTACTTTCATTTTTAAAATTTTGATGACTACTTTTTTTTAGCTATTAACTACTCTAATTTCATTATTAACTACTTATGTTTCAAAAGTTCAAAAAATATATTAAATATTGTTAGAGATCTAGTAACTACTTCTTATTTAGTTATTTATTACTATTGTGCAGTCAATAGCTATAGTGTTATCATTTCATAATATTTTAAAAATAATATTTAGGGTCTGATTTGAAATTTTAAAATTTACCCACCCCCACTTGTTCTTTAGTATTTTTGAGGGTATCTTAATGTTTTTTTCCTGTGATAATATATGGGTAATAAACTAGGAAGTTTCAAATGGTACTATTTCATTGGGAGTGTTTCAAAACACTTGAAAGTACTTTTAAAAAATATTTTCTGCAAATTAAGATAAACCCGTCTATATATTTACTTTATATATCATAAAATTATTTTTAAAATTATAATTTGATTTGCCCAAACATTCTCTTGAGAGAACCAACCAATTCATGGGACCAGCATTGTTTTTAGTTTTAAAAAAAGGGACTACAATCGTGTGAATGAAAAAAAAAACTGTTTTTGAGATAATTATTTTAAAGTACTCCTCCGATCCTTAATATAAGACCCATTTAACTAATTTGATTAGATTAAGGAAGTTAGTTAAGTTAGTTAATTATAAAAAATGTGACACGTTTTTCCTAAAACACCATAATCATATTTCTTAATACCCCTCTCCCTCTTTTATTTGATTATGGTTAAGGGAGTATTTACAGGGGTAATTTAGAGAAAATTGATAAATATGAGAAATGGGTCTTATATTTAGGACCAAAAGCAACTCAATAATTGGGTCCTATATTAAGGACCGGAGGAATATTATATTTTCTATTAAAGAAAACCTTGAAAGTGAGAATAACCATTGGTCCTAGCTCCAAATTTTCAAATTTTTTAATATTATATAAATGATATACATTTTTAACCTAAAATTTATATATAGGAAAAATTAATTTATTAAACCCTTACAATTTTGAATCAGTTATAACTCAATCTCTAAATTTTGATTCATTACAACTTAATATTTATAATTTTTAGTTAGTTACTCCCTCCGGTTCAAAATGTAAACCAAACTTTATCTATTTACGTTTATCAAGAAACTATTTAAAATCAATTTAAAACAATAAATGTGTTAGGCATATATTTGTTTTTCCTAATATAAGTAAAGATGCAATGAATAAATTAAAAAGAAAAGAGAATATATTGGGATAAAATTGAAAAAAAAAACTCATTAAATACTTGGATAAAAGTGAATGTTATCTAATAAAAAAAGACAATTCTTTTAAAAAAGTTTAGTTTATATTTTGAACCGGAGGTAGTACCATTTAGTCACTAAACTTTAACTCCAATATTACACAATCCTTATAGTTTTAATAATTTAAAATATTGGTCATCATATTTTTAGAAAATAAGATTATATATTTCAAGAAGTGTATGAGAGGTTTTAAATAAGAAAAATTATAAGCTCTAAATTATAGTTTGAGTACTGAGGCAAAATTATAAGAATTTAGTTACCAAGTCAAAATTTACCTCATGTTTGGTACGAGGTAAATGCAAGGAATTCGAAAGGAAGGTCCTTCGTACCAAATAGACTCTTAGAAATCGAGCTACAAGCTTAAACTGAATCAAAAATTATAGGGATAAATAATTTAGAGGTCCTTATAGTTTTATTCAATTTGAAATCAAGTCCTTGAACTTTTTTTTTTATTGGGTCCTTTAAATTTGTTTTGTTAAATGCTTTAATCCCTGTTGTTAAATAAAAAAGAAAATTGTTAAAACTTCCATTAGAAAGTATCGCAAGCGTCTTTTCTATCTGAAACAACTCCTTCTATCTCCTTTCCCCATAACTTCTATTCTCTCTTTGCATTTGTCCGCCATATTACGCTGATTTCTTCTGATAACATCCTTCTCACTCGAATTTAAACATTCCTCCCCTTCGGCCATGTCACCTCTTATCAATCAATTTTTACTTGTTCCATATAATGAAAGCTAAGCTGATAATTTGCTTCAGTTTTCTCTGTAAGATAACTTTTACCGATGAACTACTCTATCATTCTTAATACTTTTATCACATTGGCCAATTTTTAATTAGCAACAAGTTGAACCCCTACAGGTCAAAAATCTTGCGTCTTTACAATGTACTCAATCACATCCTAGCCTTCAACCAAATGTGTCAGAAATCTTCAAGATTTTGGAAGGCAGAGTTGAACAAAGGTAGCCAGAGGTGGAATCACCTCATCAAAAATGGCAAATTTAAAGTTGAGAGAGAAAGGTCACTTGGCCAACATTTTGTTTCATCAAGCAAGAAGAAGTCATTGCTAGCTTTTGAGGTCATGTCAAGAAAGCTAAGCAGTGGAGGGGAAGATAAGAGAGATAGAAAAGAGAAAAGAAGAAATAGAGAGCTGGGGACATGACAAGGGGGACTATGGGGTATTAATATATATGTGTATGTTTTGGAACATGCGCCCCCAGTAGCTTTATTATCAATGAGTTCATCCATGGTTGACACCATGCACTGTATTGTTCTGCCGTCGCACTTAATACTGGATATTTTCCATTTGCAATATTCACGTCACTCTCATCCTCCTCTGAGTTCTCCTTCTCAGGGTCCTTTTCTGCATTCTGCTTCGCAAAAAATTGTTTCCAGCCCTTGACAATGTCTTCTTGTTCATCATGACTAACTAGGAACCCTCCACACCCTAAAGACAGGAGTTTCTCTTTATGACCATGACCCAGTTCGCCGGTTGCTAGCGGCAGTCCCTCCCCTGGAGTTCTTCCCTTCTCGACGCTTCCTCCGCCACTACCAAAACAAACGTCGTGATAGGGATGGGTCCCTTGTCTCTCTCCGGTCCTCCCCTACCGTCGCCGTCACCTGCCCCTTGCCCTCTCTTCCCCTCGCCTGTTTCTCCCTCAGCACTCTCTCGCCCTCCAGTCGCCATTCCTCTCTAGTTAATACTCATAGACAGGGTGCGGCGAATGTGGAAACCACAACAACCTCTGAAGGTTACCCCCCTGAGTAATGAGTATTACATAGTATCTTTCACAAGCAAAGAAGATAGAGATTATGCTTTTCAAGAAGGACCTTGGATGATTGATGACCACTATCTCTTAGTTCAAAAATGGCGACCGAATTTCAACCCGTGGAAGGCAGACACCCAACGACGCATTGCTGCCTGGATTCGCATCCCAGACTTACCAATGGAATTCTACAATGTGGAGTCGTTACGTATGATCGGTAATATGGTAGGAAAGACAATTAAAGTAGATAGATCCACATCTATATATGACAAGGGGAGCTTCGCACGGATATGCGTTGAGATTGACCTTCAAAAGCCGCTATTGCCAGCATTTACAGTGTGGGGTGAAGATCGATAGATAGTTTATGAAGGGCTTCACCAAGTGTGCTTCTGTTGTGGTAAGTACGGCCATCAACAGCAAGCATGCCCCAGTAATTTACAGGATAAAACCGGAGATGTTGCGACTAGAGGGACGGTGCCCAGGCCGGATATAACAAAGGAATCTGCTGAGACATGTGACGTGAAGGAGCAAGAACTGATCAATGAGGGTGGCCAAATCCAGATTCCGATGATGGAAGGCTCGCCGACGCCAAGCAACGGATGCTTGGGGCCGCAAATGTTAGTTAAACGTGACTTTCGGAGAGGAGTTAATCTGATGGAGAAAAAAGTGGGATCGGATTTGGGAAATCCAACTAGAAATCAGTCGCGAATCAAGAAACAAGATATGGTGAAGAGCGTAGCAAATCAGATGGGATCTCAAAAGGATACTGCTGAAAAAACGGGATCAAGGAAATCACTAAGGCGTAATTTTGGGAAGGATATCGGCAACTCTACTGCCACGTGGATTAGAGTAGGCTCAAAAAGAAAGAATGATGCGAAGTGCAAACGTGGCAAGGAAAATAAAAATTCTGACACGGTTTGCGTGAGCCAAGACTCATCTATTAGCACCAATCCTTTTTCTATTCTTCAACATGTCCCTTTGATGGGCCAAATGGATATGGGCCCAACATACGTAGGTGGTTCTCAAGGCACAACAGGCATGGACATCATGCATAATAATGGGACGTCTCATGAAGACACACTAGCTACCCCTTCGGATGACCCCTTGGTTGCGGAGCCGACCTCCTCCTCTCTTTTGGATATTGTCCAGGCGCGGGATGTTAATGACGTGCCAAATTCTGAAAATGTGTTTTTATGAACTACATAATCTGGAATTCGAGAGGTACAGGGGCAAAGACTTTTGCTAAACTGACCCATGAAATTAAAAACCACTTCCAGTTGGATTTCCTGGCTCTGGTGGAGACTCGTGCAGATAAATCAAACACAGAAAAACGTATTGGACGTCTTGGTTTTCAAGACTATACTTATATTGAAGCTGAAGGTTACAGTGGGGGGATCTGGTGTCTTTGGAATACTGGGATTAGGAAGCTTGAAGTCCTTGAACGAAATAGACAATTCATTCACTTTAGAATTGAGAATAGCCACCGCAATACCTGGGTTATGACAGTTATTTACGCGAGCCCAAATGTTATGATGCGTCGAAATTTATGGGGGCAACTCGCTCGAATCGCCAGCGTCACTCAAGAGCCATGGTTACTCGGCGGCGATTTTAATGCAACGCTATTAGAGTGGGAAAGACGATCTTCTGCAACCTATAAACTCTCAGCTGATAATGACTTTTGCAGATGGTTTGATGAGAGCAATCTTCAGGATCTCGGATACTCTGGCCCCGATTTAACTTGGAAAAGAGGGACGTCGGAAGCTCGGTTGGATCGCTTTTTAGCAAACGAAGCTTGGTGTCAGTTATTCCCTCAGGCAAAGGTTGCTCACTTGCCTTTCTATAAGTCTGATCATCGTCCACTTCTTCTTCGTCTTGACTTACGCACAGAACGACCACGCCGTCCCTTCCGTTTTATTGCATCCTGGATCCTGCATGACAATTTTAATGATTTCGTACGTGATAATTGGAAGGAGCATCTGGATTGGCAATCTAATATTACTCAGTTCACTGATGCTTGCCGAGTTTGGAACAAACAAGTCTTCGGGCACATCCAGGACCGTAAACGAAAACTTATGAGACGATTAGATGGGGTAACTCGGGCTATTGCTCGTGGTGCTAATCGGAGCTTTTATGAAAACATTCAGCTAGAAATATGGAAGGAGCTTGAGAGTGTGATTGCCCAAGAATCACTCTTATGGGCTCAAAAGGCGCGTGTTAATTGGGCCGTATACGGGGACCATAACTCCAAACTGTTCCATGCCCATGCCAATAAGCGAAGGAAGGTTAACCGTGTTGATGCTATTCGACTAGAGGATGGAGCTTGGTGTTATGACACGGAAGAAATTAAACAGCAAGCTACTAACTTCTTCTCCTCTCTATTTCAAGAGGACCTTCCTGTTCGAGATAGCCTGAACTGCAGAATCACCTATCCCCCACTTGATGAGGTGTTTCGTAAAGGGTGTGAACGTGCTGTTGATGAAGAAGAAATCAAAAGTGCCTTGTTCAGTATGGGACCCCTCAAGTCTCCAGGGCCTGATGGTTTTAATGCACTCTTTTTCCAAAATCAATGGGGAAGGATCCGAAACTCACTGGTGACATGTGTTCAACGACTCTTTGACCGCCCTGACACGTTAAGAGAGATCAATGGTACCTTGATTGTGCTTATTCCCAAAAAGGACCCACCGGAGACCCTTAAAGATCTTCGCCCCATTAGCCTTTGCAATGTAGTATACAAGATTGTGACTAAGATTATGGCAAATCGAATAAAGACCTTTTTGCCCCAGACCATCTCTCCAAATCAGTGTGGCTTTGTGCCCGGTCGCCTTAGCTCTGATAATATCATTGTGGCTCAGGAAGTTATTCACTCTATGCGTAACATGAAAGGTAAAAAAGGCTTCATGGCTATTAAGATTGACCTTGAGAAAGCCTATGACTGTGTCAATTGGAATTTTCTAATAGGATGTCTCAAGGAATTACAGCTCCCTAATCATTTTGTAGACATTATCTCCTCATGTGTTAGCACAGCAGACTTTCAACTGTTATGGAATGGAGACAAGGCTAAGAATTTTTCTTCCTCTAGGGGTGTGCGCCAAGGAGACCCAATTTCCCCTTATCTATTTGTTATATGTATGGAGAAACTAGCTCATATCATCCAAGAAGAGATTGAAGATAATCACTGGCGTCCTATTAGACTCACTAAAACAGGACCCCCCATCACTCATCTTTTTTTCGCAGATGATGTCCTTCTTTTTGCAGAAGCTAATCTCGAACAAGCAGATTTGATTAATCAATGCCTTGAGAAATTCAGTAGAAGCTCTGGACTGAAGGTAAACCACTCAAAGACTCGCATTTTCTTCTCCATGAACATAAATCATAATAGATGCTCAGAAATTAGTGGTAGGCTGGGATTCACTCAAACTTCAGATCTTGGAAAATATCTGGGTGTGAATCTACACCACTCACGCGTCAACAAGGGATCTTTCCAGAGTGTTGTGGATAAAGTCAAAACCAGACTCTCCAAGTGGAAGACAGGTTCTCTCTCTCTCGCAGGAAGAACAACATTGATATCGTCAGTCATGTCCGCCATCCCTAATTACACCATGCAAACCTCGCTTGTACCGTCACCAACATGCGAGACACTAGACAAGCTCAATCGAGGATTCCTTTGGGGCAGTTCAGCAGAACACCGAAAAATGCCGTTAGTGGCTTGGGATGCGGTCTGTCAACCTAAATCCAAAGGAGGGCTAGGACTTCGACATACAAAACTTCAAAACCAAGCTCTCCTCATGAAACTGGGATGGAGACTTGTTAAATGCAGAGATGACTTCTGGGTCAAGGTCCTTCGTGATAAGTACCGATGTGGCGATGATTTAATGCCCAAAATAGATCCAAAACGGGGAGGCTCTAACATTTGGGCTGGCATCAAAGCCACGTGGGAGAGGGTGGCTGCTGGTATTGAGTGTCTGGCTGACAACACTGTGAAGTGGAAATGGGAGCGTAATGGATTATTTTCCGTAAAGTCGGCCTACGACAATCTTAGCCCAGAGATTGCAGATTCAGATCCATACTGGAAACGAATATGGAAGCTAGCAATTCCCCAACGTTGCAGAACTTTTATCTGGCTAGCATCCCGCAAAAGCCTCCTCACGAATACTGCGAGACATAGACGAGGCCTAAGTATGGATGATCAGTGCCCGATATGTCATAATGGCGCGGAAGACGTACTACACGTTCTTCGGGATTGCACCAATACTTGGCTCCTTTGGAAAGGACTGGTTAACGCATCAATCTGGAAGAAGTTTTGCTCCCTTGGTTCCTCTGACTGGCTCCGATGGAATCTGAATTGTAGAAATCATAATGAGAAAGAGTGGGGTTCTCTCTTTGCAGTTGTATGCTGGTGGCTATGGAGACGTCGTAATCTAATCATATTTGAAGGAAAAGAGTTGCGTAATGAAGCAATCATCGCAAACTCGAAAGCCATATTAAGCTCCATGCACGAGATCCAGGGACACTTACGTGGAACTCCTATAGAGGGTGTAAAACGCAGCAATGGGGAAGAAAGATGGAGACCTCCGGACAATAACTGGATCAAAGTGAACGTCGACGGTGCCTACTCACCTGACAGAAACATTAGTGCTTGCGGTGGCCTTCTTCGGAACATGCGGGGTGAATTTCTTCGTGGCTTTATCTTTCATATCGGGCAGGGTGATGCACTGACAGCTGAGCTACAAGCATGCTTACATGGACTAAAAGTGGCATGGGACGAAGGTTATAGAAATGTCATACTTGAGTCTGATGCTACTAGTGCCATTGAACTACTCTCAGAGGACCCCAACGAACTTCATGATGACTATGTGATAATCAGAGAGGCCCGAGCATTGTTGACTAGGGAGTGGAATGTGAAGCTTTCATATGCACCTCGTAGCTGTAACCAAGCTGCTGATCTGTTAGCAAAGCTCGGTCTTGGGGCGATGCCAGGCGTGTATATTCTACAGAACCCTCCTCAGCAAATAAATAGGGTACTGGATATTGAGTGGCTGTGTGCTGACAACAGCCATGTAAGGAGTTGTTAAGGTTTCCTCTTGTTATCAAAAAAAAATATATATATGTGTATGTGTTGGGGTGTGATAAGGGATCAACTTAACAAGATAGGCAAATGCAGAGAAAGGAGAGAAAAGGCTACTGGGAAAGGAGATAGAAGGAGTTATTTTAGATGCGGAAGACGATTGCCATGTTTTTTAACGGAAGTTTTAACAGTGTTGTTTTTTATTTAACAGCAGGAGTTAACAAATTTAACAGAACCAACTTAAAGGGCCTGATAAAAAGGAAAAAAAACTCAAGGACTTAATTTAAAATTGAATAAAATTATAAGCACTTCCAAATTAATTATGCCCAAACTGTACAAATAAAAAAAATTAACTTCCCCATATATATAAATTAATGCCAGTCGCTCTCATAATTAAATATAGGCTGTCTGTCTTGAAAAGGGCAATGAGAATATATGGCCACCTATTGTGTTAAGCATGATTTTTTTTTAAAAAAAAAGCATGAATTAATACAGCTAATCACTGCCACTGCACTTATTATTTATATTCTCATTTCTCGTACTACTTTTGGACCCATCCCTTTAAATTTGGTTCACAAGATTTTAGGTCTTTGTAATCAATTCCACCAAACGTTCGCCTTCCTGCCCCAGGTTGCTCATTATGATCCATCACTCATTGTCTGGGAAGATCTTATTACCCATCTAACTTATTTTAGGAATTTTTTTTAAAAAGGTAAAATTATTTCATACAACTAATAATTATTAACGAATATATTTAATATATATGCTTTTTTATATAGGAAAAATTACTGTATGATACTAAAAAATAAATAAGAAGTCTCATGACCAGTGAATGATAAGTTATAGGATAAAAAACGACAAGAAGTTTCATACAGCTTATTTATTATTGAGACTTTTTTGTAAGTATATTCTTATTTTAAATCTCATAATAATTTTTTCTTTTTATATCTCTTTTTATTGCACGATGAAGAACAAGATGTAATGCCCTTAATGCCATCAATGCAGATGCCTAAGGCTCTGTGAAAAATGAAACAAGTTATTTTTAGACAAGAAAAAATCGATCCTTATGCTGTTGCTTCAAATAATTACGAATAACATAAAAACGCTGGATATAATTACAAATTACAAAATACTATAGTAAATATTATAGGGAATCAAAATCTCATTCTTTTCAATAGTCGACAGCATCTTAAAGTCAAGGCATTAGCAAAAACTTCAAAACTATAAGTGCTTAATCATCGATTTCAGATTACATAACAAAAGTATAAATCGGCTAAAATTAAAATCACAAATTAATTTAAGTTATTTTTAATCACTCAATGTAACATATAGATCCCATAATAAAATATGATCTGTATATGATACATGAAGCTATCACCTTAGTCATAATTATACTTTGGCAACAATCTACGTTGATATTATTGAAAATATAATACTACCTCTGGTCCTTAATAAGACTTAGTTGACTAATTTGAGAAGATTAAAAAAGTTAGTTAAGTTAGTTATTTATAGTAAATCAATGTTATTTTTCATAAAATATCCTTATTAATCATGAATGTTTGAATTACCTATTGATGCTAACTTCTTAACGCATGCAACTAATATAGGAATTACTTGAAGCCAAGATAGATAAATATTGGAGACAAAATGTATTGAGGTATTATATTTAGAACTAAGTTAAAAGTCAAACTAGCTATTATATTAAGAATCGAAGGTAGAATAAAGAGAAGAGATGAAGCTATAGTCTATATTAATATTAATGGATATATATGCACTTTCTGGTTCTAATTGTAAGACCCATTTGTAGTACAAATTATATTATAAAATATGTTTTACATTTAGAACTAGAAGAGTAATTATTTGGCATGCTTGTTGGGTTGGCTCATCACTTGCTCTCAAACTTGGTTTTGGAGTCTCCATTACTAACTGGATTACTTATAGGATTACCACATTTCTCTCATCTCTACTGGTTTCTATCATTTTGACTCCTTATAGTTGTTTTCATAAAATCAAATATATTTGCTTAATATAATCTTTGGTCTCTCAAGTTTGTTCCTTATTTTGGTTTTGATCTTTTAAATTTCAAACTATAAGTTTTGGTCTCTCAGGGAGAAAAATAGTCTAAATTTTTATTAAATTATAGAAACCAATATTATAAATAAAAAGAAATTTAAGAAACCAAAACAAGATGAAAAATTTAGAGCACAGAAAATTATATTAACCCAATTCATTTTGTAGTACTGAGTCATGTCAAGTGATGATAAGGAATGCTATCTGTGAGAATCATGCAATTCCTCGCAGTCCAAAAAAAAAAAAAGGGGACGACTCTCATGCCCGTGCTATCCGAGGGAGAAAACTTCGTTTATTCTTCGTATCCTGCTTGTTGGATCTTGATCTTTCAACTTCAAAAGATTTTAACAAGAACTCCAAAATAGACTCCGTTTTGTATCACTGGACATGTCAGTCCCCTATAAGATGAATAGTTTATGGATACAACTATTATTTCCATTTTAATTTTAGATGTTATTCTCAATTCTTAATATAATAACTAGATAATTAATATGATGATATTAAGAAAATTATTTAAGTTAGTTACTTGTCATAAATGTGTGTTGATCTTTTTAAACCATCATATTCAATCATATACATTGATTAAAATTATTTCTTAGTAGAAATCTTCTACAATCAATATAGATATTTTGAGAAAAGCAGAAGACAAAGTATATTGAAATATTATATTTTGACCAAACACAACCCCTACCTAACTCTTATATTAAGGACAAGAAGTAGTAAACGGTTTCAATTCACTTTATCTTTGAATTTTATAATTTCTCCCAAAGTATTTCAAGTTATTACCCATATGAAGGAGCTTTTCATAGAGAATAGTTTTAATGTACATGATTAAATAAGGTATTTAAGAAAAACTAATACAAATTTATTTCAAATAACTAATTCATCTATTTTTTTTAAAAATATTCACAGATTTAGTGCTCATTATAAAAAATGCATTGATTTTCCTAACACTTATCACTGGACATCCTTGTCAAGATGGATATCCTGCGAATACAACGACTTGTTATCATAAATGCGTTGATTTTCGCCGTTGCATCATAGCATGTTGTTTCTGATGTTTTCGTAATTCCCCTTGGTTCTGGATTTACCAACACAATCTTGTAGGAAGACATCAAAGTCCTAATCGCCAGTTGCCCAGCTCTGTAAAATTATTTTTCATAGTTTAATAATACCACCTTAATATAAGACTAATTGTAGAATTAATTTGATCTTAAATATAATAGTTTCTCATGTTTATCTATTTTTATCTCTAAATAATTCCCATGGGGCTTTTCATTAAAATGTAGTTTCAATATGTTTAGTAAGAATATTTTTTTAAAAAATAACACTAATTTATCATAAATAACTATTTTTTTTAATATCCACTCGTTAATTATTTAACCTTGATATTAACAAACAGAGGTGCTATATGATTTGATTTCTCATAAAAAATGTACAAACTGGTGCAAATCCACACTACCCGTTTTACTTGAACCAGTATATTACAGTTTACAACATCACCGGATGATTTGACTAGATTTTAATTTTAATTTAATATAATGGTTTTAGATCTAAAAATTAGATAACTAATTTATAAAAATTAAAAAAATTAATTCAGCTATTAATAAAAATGTAGGTTGATTTTACTTATAATATATCTTTAATTATTTGCATTAAAAATTAAAATTTGCTTAATATGTTTAATAAATAGAGAGAATTAAAATTTTTTTTCTAGTCCTTAACATAATATTCATTTTATAGTGTAAATCATATTATAAAATGAGTATTATATTTAGAATCGGAGGAGTATAAACTTAAAAGATAATATAAGTTGAGGTATTATATTTAAGATAAAAACAAATTTAGGATGAAAAATATATAATAAAAATGTTGCAACTTTTTTTTGGGAATAAGACCAAATGATATTAAGAAGTTAAGAGTTTTACATAGTACACTAAGTTAAAGTGCAAATAGAATTGCTAAACAAGCTAAGAAAAGAAGATAAAGACACTACTTTAATAGATATGTGAGAAAAATCCTAAAATAATGACAAATTTCCTACTAGGTTATAAGCAGACAATAATGACTTGTACTCCTCCGGTCCTAATTATAAGACCCAATTGACTTATTTGAGGAAATTAAGGAAGTAAGTTAAGTTGGTTATTTATAATAAATAAGTGTTGTCATTCCTAAAATATCCTTGCTAATTAAGTATATTGGCTAAAACTATCATTATTAGAAGGATTATCTTGGAAAAAAAATGCATAAATATAAGAGACAAAATGAATTAGGGTTTTATAATTAGGACCAAATAAAAAGTCAAATGGGGTTTTATAATAAGGACTGGAGGAGTATCTTGTATCTATTAAGGTTTTATTTGTAATCACGATTATAAACACGTTTTATATAAGTCGAGATATCTCTTTTTGTATATTTATAAGCTATTTCAACCCAAATAGGCCTTAATTCAGAGTTGTGAATTTAAAAAAGTTCAGCTTTAGAACACATAGTAAGAAATGGCAGTCCCATTGATTCCTAAGAACTTCTTATTAAAAGGTCACGACAACATATGATGCCTTCACAAAAAATGTGTAACTTGGGCGAAGAGGGTGTAATTTAAAAGTCGCAGGCCCATAAAAGTATACGAGTAAGAGGGTATTTAGATAGCGAAAAAGTATTTTAGAAACTACGGATGCCAAACACCTCTTAAAATAGACTTTTTTAAGAATAGAATTCGAAAGACAGGGACAGTGCAAACTGGGAAGGGCCGAAACATCACCATATGCCCTCGCTGTTCCGAGGCCGCGAAGTGAACTTCGAAAAATCGAGCAAAGACGAAGATGATGGATGAGAGTGAAGACGTATTCGAAGATTGGGAAGACGCTTTCTTGGACCAATTAATCCAGGTCGAAGAACTTGCTCTCTCTGCTATTGCAAAACCAAGTTCCAATCCTC